GAAACCATACACTACACTAAATATGCCATTTTAAGTGTGTTCTCTGTAGAGAATGTGTTCACTTATGTTCTGTTAGAAAATCAACAAAACGTAATTTGACCAGAGGTGTTCACATTTTTGCATAAGACTGTACACAGTATATATAAATACCTATATGCAATAAGAATTTTCTAAGCATAAGCATAATTCTGTCCTTAACCTCAGTAACCAAAAAAAGGTCTACCCTTTCAGCAAAACCTGTATTTTATGTAAAAACAAACATTATCTTGACCATTTGCTGGACAAGATAGTTTACACCTTCAAACAATCACTTTCTATAGTGAGAGATGTGTAGTATTATTGTAAACAGCAGTCCGTCATCTTTCATTGATAGCTTCTTCTCTCTCATTTTGTTCATACGTATAAGTGGAAGAATCGTTTAGATCATAACTCTGCAGGGTAGCCCTCCGCAGCCCTCACTGGGACTGATCCAGTCTGACGGTTCAGTGCTATGGGGAGACTGGAGCCTGGTTGATGGGCACTGGGGAGGGGTGCCATGCTACCACCTCCGTTCTCCTCATAGCTATGCTAATGCACACACATTAATGTGGCCCCACTGGTCCAAACAGGGGTTCCATCATGCCAGATTCATCACTCGCCTCCTCGCGGCACCATGCTCCAGCCGGCCTGCAATATTAGGGTGTTTAGAGCTTTTAATAGTGTTTTTTATGCAATAGCAGTTGACACTGTGACAGCGTGGAGAATAGGGTTTGATTGTAATCTTAATCCAAGAAATGCAGGCCTAAGGCATTAGGTGGAAAAGGCCACCGATGACTATCTCTGCACCCAGAGAGGATATTTCTAGTTTTAATGCTTCCTCTGTGGATTTCACCTGACAGAGAAATCCAAAAGTGGAAAAATGTGGAGGAACCAAAGGATGAAAGTACAGTAAGAGGAAAGGTTCATGGGAATGTGAAAAGATTTACCTTTGAAGCGTCCGTGTCATGAAAATTTCCTCACTTTTTTAAATAAAAAAGTTTGTGTAAGCATTGTAAAAAGTAGTGTGTAAGCATTGTTAACATTTTGAGGCATACTGGTCACTTCCCTGGTCTATATGGACCATAGAAAAACTTAACCCCTTAACATTCCAGGCTTATTACATATTAAGGCTTATTTTATATTAACTACAGGGACTTCAGTGCAAACTAATAAAACTTTGAGCCTGCTGGCGGGCCCAGGGCTTGTCTGTTTTAAATTCACTGTTTTTGTGACATCATCGACCAAAACATTTACATTAATCAGTCTGTTCATCGTACCATGCTGAAGTGATAAGTATGGAAGCCCATTCCCGCCTGGTAGAGGTTTATGGTACTTATTGGAATAATGGCTTATTTTCTCAAAATATTTACTTACTATGTCGGAATACTGACTTGCTTTCTCAAAATGTCGACCTACTTACTATGTCAACATAATGATTTAGTCTCTTGTAAGAATGACTTATTATTTGAAAATGACTGTATACTTTCTTCAAATTTAATAATGCTTTATTTTAACATAATATCTCAAAATCTGATATATAATTATTTTTGACATTAGGTCAATATTTAAAGAAATAAGTAATTATTTTGAGATGCAAAGTCACAAATTTGACATGCTTCTGCGAGAAACAGAGAAGGAAAAAAATGTTTTTTTCTATGATAGCACAGTTCCACAGGTAATTGTTTCAGCCTGGACTGATTTTTGAATGTGGCACGATACATGGCAGCCAATCAGAACAGAGGTGATTTACACTAATCAGTCCTAAAATCACAAAAGCTACAAAACAAACTGCCTGTTTAAGGGATGCATAGAGGTTGGACAGTGATAATGTAAAAATGAGATAAGTGGACAACAGGCAAAATAAATAAATAAATAGCAAGCAAAATGTAGGATATGAGCACTTTAATTCCGGCCATTTCAGAGAAGCATACAGATCGATATTGTTTGTGTTCTGTTCTTAATAATTGTTGTACTGAGTGGTATTCACTTGTATGAGTTTTCTCTGTTCACTGACCCTTCTAATCACTGACTCACTGGGTTTTACTGGAAATAGATACAAAGTCTTGCTGTATTTTATTATCAGTGCTAGATGAGTCAGCTTAGCAGGAGAGATATGTTGCATGTCGTGACTTTTAGCATTGAGGATACACATGCTGTAGCATGGATATTGTAAGATACAGGGTTTAACTAGTTGTTATGCATTACACCTAATCCAGTTGTCTTCTGAGTCAGATTAAAAATATGCAGTGCTTAATTTTCTAAATTATGAGGGTTATGTGGAGCAGTGGAACCGCAGTCTCTGGAGTGATAGAGCTCCATCCAGTGCCACTGAGATGAGTTGAAGTGGCATCTGTTATCCAGAACTAATCATCCAGCATTAGTAGGTGACATTTCTTGGGGCTGAATGCAATCTTTACAGCAATATTCCATCATGTAATGTAAAGCCTTCTCAAAGGAGTAGAGGCTATCACTGGAGCAAATGGACAGACTCTCTATTAATAATTTTGATTGCAAAAAAACTTTGGATGAGCAGGCGTCTACAAACTTTTGGACATACAATGTGGTTTTCCCAAACACTATCATCAGGCAGAATTTTAAAGGGCTCATGCCATGGAAAATTGAAAAGAGTTTGATGTAATATGGAAACAACATGCAAGTTTCAAAACTTTTCACTTCACAGTTCGTACTGTCCATATGTGGAAACTTAGCCGCAAAAGAATCCTGTTTTATATTCAGTATCTTTGTAAGGTCACATAAATCAACACATTTATATGGAGATACATATCGCTGCTGTTGGAGCAAAAATCTCAGTTTTTCATTTTTTGACATAATTTCATGATGAATGAACCAAAAGAAACAGTCCAGAATTACTTGGGTAAACGTCTGAGTACATTGACATGGCCTGCCCATTGACCCTGGTTCTAAGAAATATTGCAGTCCAATTTTAAATGAGGCACAATACAGGACAGCCAATCAGAACAGACGTGATTTACATACATCAACCTTAAAGGCACAGTAGATATAAAGAGACACAAGTGATACAAGAGATTGAAAAATGATGAAGTAAAAAGTATTGGTACATACATTAGTATGAAAGTTTAGTATGAAACTTTCTAAGTAAACCTCTGGAGAAAGAAGAAAGAAAAAGGTATATGGACCCTTTAAGATTCCTAAACAGCTTTGCTAACATCTCTGTGTACACCCACTACTGTGTACGACGCAGCCACTTCCAAGAAAGCTTGAACATGATCTGAAGTGTACATGCATGCATAGTTGTTATAGCCCAAATACAGTTTCAGAAATGGTTATATTGGAGTGTTTGTGAAGTAAAAATACAACAATTTTGATTGTGGTTTATTTTGTTATTTATAATTGAATAAAAATAAATGATTAGCATTAGTCAGACATTTTTTATTGATTTTCTGCCCTGTTGGATTCATGCTGAGTGCTCAAACTTTGATATCCAGCAAGCAGTCCTTGGAATATTTTGTTCAGGGCAAGATAAGTACTTTTTTATGTAAAAAATCATTTTTGTTATGCTGTGAAGATTGTAGAGCTCTGATCACTCACTACATGCACTAAAGAGAGGATCAGGAGAGCATACTGGACCAAAACACAGGCAGTATGTAACGTTTACATAGAGTCAAAACAGAGAAATCTTACCAGGATATTGAGCAGATTTTGGGTTGTTTTTGGAGCTGGATTACTGGCTGATGCTTCTCACTTTGTCTAAAGAGAGTGAGTCCTGTTGAGAGCTCTGATATGTGTATCTCTTTGTGCGTTTAAAGTTTTTGAGTTACAAAGCCTTAAACAGATAGATCATGATAACACAAATAAAACAGTGTTAGATGTTATAGTCATGAGTTTGACAGTGTGAAAGGAGATCTTTGAGTTTTTTTAAGATGATAAGACTGTGACAGATTTTAAGATGGTGAGGTAGTCAGTTCCAAATTGAAGGTCCTTAATGAGAGTGTAAATTGTACGAGTGATGTCCAAAAGAAAGCTACATGAAGGTTCATAGAAGATCGTGTGGAATTCTGATGAACCAGAATATCAGTGGTTGATTTCATATAAATCAAGCATTTCAAGGTTGTTGTGTGAAATATGATTTTATATGATTGAACTTATTTAGCGATCATATTTATAGAATTCTTTTTTTTTTTCCATATGTGAATGAAGTGAGCAATCCTCAAAATCTGAGGAATCTGGTTTTAGCACAAATTAAAGGGGAGTTCCACCGATTCTTTCAAATGCTCTTTATAATTAAATTGTTAAAATGTAAACAGAGTCATTCAGAGTGGTTTGAAATGAAATGAAACTTACTGACTTACAATAGTTCACAGCGGTGGTGAAAGGAGTCAGGCATTTTAATACCTCTAAAAGCTCCCTCACAGAAGGTTATTACACTAAATGGTGATGAATACATTGCCTAATGCCTGATACATTGATGTATGACGGGTTGGCAATTTATTTATTTATTTATTTATTTTTTTTTTTACATAAAGTCATGGTAGAGAGATACATGTAAGGCATTTTAGGGCAAAATAATACCCAAGTAAATCTCTCTCTCTCTTTTTTTATCATTATGAATATTAAAAATTCTTCACTGATTGTTTTGGATAATGAAAAAGACTGTATAAGCACTGTAGACATCACAGCTTTTGGTTTTTATCCCCGTCATTAAAAAGAAATTTGAATCAGTAAGTTTCTCTACAATGAAGGATTTCACTTCAGACTACTCTGAATGACTGTTTACATCTCAGCGACTGAATTATGCAGAGGTTTTAACCAAAAATTGGTGAAATTCCGTTTTAAGTTTTTGTGTTAGAGATATCCAGATGGAAGCAGATCTCTAGGTGGAGTGTTTGTGACCGTAGTTCTAAGATCAAATATCTTTTTTCAAGAGCTACTTGATGTGGGTGTGTTTCTAACCTCTCTCAATCTCTCTCTCTCTTTCTGTTTTCCCTGTCTTTGTCTGATAGCCCTTCCCAGCTACACCTGTGGTAACCCCGGACAGCTGCTCAATGGCCTCCAACAGGGCTCCACCTTCAACATCGGAGACAAGATCCGCTACAGCTGCAGTCAAGGCTATGTGCTGGAGGGTCACACCGTGCTGTCCTGCCTGGCCACCTCATCCGGCACGGCTGCATGGGACTTTCCCTTGCCCTACTGCCGAGGTGAGTCCACCAGCAGGGGGCGCGGAGGGGCACCGAGCTCCTCCAGAGACGCAAGGGGAGGTTAGGAAGTGTCTTTATCAGAGATGACGCGCACCCTGGCGGTTTGTAGCAAGAGTCTACGCGGTGCCATTTGTCCTGCTTTAGAGTGAGCAGAGACCCCCACGGTGTTGACACCTGCCAAGGTGTAGCGGCACGGATGGATGCTTTGTCAGTGCCATCACGTGGAGCGCTTAGCTGTAGGGGGAGAGAGCGCACGGTGCCCTTTCTTACCTCCCGCACATGTCTGAATGTGTACTGCTTAGCTTTCATCACTGTGTGATAGAAACGTGTTTAACACTTAGAGAGTAACTATGAGGACGTTTCATTGAATGTGCCAGTGTAGGTGGCCACACAGACACATTCTATGCATTCGATATATCTTTTCTGTGCGTTCTATATATCCATTCAAACAGACGCTGACCATACAGGTATGTACGAATAATGTTATTCCACACAGTTATTAGAACAGTTTACTGCACACTGAAGTGTTGTTGATCTTTTCTTGCAGTTCTATATTTTCACAAAAGGGAAATACTTGAAGGTTGTCAGTAACATCACACCATTCACTTTATTGATTTCAGACTACTCCATTTTTACATATATATGTCTTGCAGCCTTTTATTTTTCTTTTATTTCTTTTAAGTGTTTTTACACACACACACAAACACACCCACACACACTTTTTTCCCAGTATGTAAAACTCAGCAAAGAAATTGTGCAGCAAAACTTCCAGAAATATGCCATATTTAAGGTTGTCACCTGTAGAAGATGTTAACTTATTTTCGCTTAGAAAATCAACAACACGTGTAATTTGCCCAGAGGCATGAGGTGTTCAAACATTTCCGGACAACTGCATACAGATTCTGTATCATATTGAAATTTCACAAATTAATTGGATGAATTACAGATTTTGTCCATAATGTAACTGTGAGGCAAACAGAAATGGGATTTTTCCATTATTGTCACTGACCAAATTTATCCCATCGTTGACTTTGGAGGGAGCCAGGAACCTGCCTCATTCTTCATTTTCACATTATCTTGTAATGTATTCCCTTTATATGGTGATGTGTTAACATTATATTATGATGCATTCCAATTATATTTGAGTGCATTCCTGCATGACATGTACTTTATATCAGTGTGAAGGCTGTTCCGTGGGTCAGACCCCGCGTGTGAATGGCATGTATAACGCAAGCTGCTTGTGGTACTATGCTCATGTTCTCTAAACAGGCCAGTAAGAAGCGGAGCCATCTGTGCCCAGGCTGTGGGAGTCAGGAAGCCCACGTCCAGTCCCACATGCTCAGCCATGCAGAGCCAGAAAGGGACCCCCTCCCCACCAATCCTGCGAGCCCTTCGGCCGGCCCTGCTGCAGTCAGGCCGCCTTTCTTACGCCGCCTTCGTTTTTCTTTGCTCACTCCCACGCCACCCTTCATACCTCCCATTTCCCTGGATTTCGTCCCATCAGCTTTCTGCTTCATGACTTTTTTTCACTGGCTCTGTGCTGCGTATAGACTCTTTCTCACCCCGCCTGCACTGTACGCCCTCCCTTCAACTTAACCCGGGAAGCATTCGCACATGTGAAAGGCATAAAAACGCCATTCTTGCATGACGAATTACATTCCAGTGTTTTTTTACAAACCAGCAATTTCCACCACAGCTAATTGGAGTCTCATGGTTCTATATAAAAGCTGGCATATGCGTCTGAGTGCCTTTTCATAATGCATGAGTATATTGTTAATGTCACTCCAATTACCAGCTCCTTACACATTCCTGCTGCAAAACACTTGCTTCTAAATTTGGGGGATATTTTTCACATTCCTCTCGCTCTCTCCCTCACACACTTTCTCTTCCTGCTTCCTTTGTTGCGGTTGGTCAGCAGACTAATTCTGCTCAGTCACTGAGTCTAGTCGGCCAGAAGGTGGCAGGAGGCTCGACTGTTTTGCTACAAGAATATCCCATTGAGCACAACCACAAAATACCAGCCGTATCTGGGCTTTTCCTCTCCTCATTAGCACCAGTCTTCCAGGCCTACTCTTTTAAACACAGCACAACACCCGTCATAATTATCCGCTTGCCGTGCCCGATCTGCTGTTTGCTGTGCTGAGTGTAAACACATGGATCTTTGAGAAGCTTCATCCTCTGCATTTGTATATATTAGTAAACACTAACATGGCTCAATATGTACATGAAACTGTGCCCTATGCATGACGTAGTGCACTATTTTGTGCCATTTTGCAGTGGTGGCTGAAAAGAGTGGAGAATGTCCAGTGCGCTCTTATGATCCAACAGTTCAGCCCAATAGGAATACCAAAAATGTTTTTCGTTGTGTGCGTCAGACTTCTGTTGCCTGTTTTATTGCAAAGTGGTGAGTAAAACTATGTAGTGTTTGTGTACAAAATCGTTTACTTTAACCCTTTTTCAGAGTAGCCATAAAATGCAATTTCCACCTGTTTTGAAAGTTCTGCAGTTTTTGCGATATGCATTTCATAGGTGAGCAAGCACATCGACAATTATGAAAGTGTTTTTATTGTGTTGATATGCTTGTTTTAATATTGCAGTTGGACAAATTGTGAAGAAAGCTGCAGTTGTGCTGTTCCTTTTATCTCAGCATGGCTGTTTTTGTGGAGAGATTTTTACAGCACAGAATTGTTTTTACAGCAGGGCTCTCACCCCTTAACTCATTGCTCCTTAGCAGCTCAACATTGAGTAACAACATTTCACACACAGAGAGAATAGAAGTGGAATAGGCCACTAGGGGTCTGCAGAACGGGGTTAATCATGAATTCTGCTACCTATACTCTTATGGGAGCCAAAAAGGCTTCTTTGGAGAGATGCCATACAAGAACCAATAGTGATTAGCAGACTATTTTGACCACAGTGTACGGTTTCCTCCGCCTTGAGTGTCTCCGGCATCCGGCCTTTCTCTGTCTCTCCGTCAGGTCTCTCCGCTCACTCGGCGGGAACATGTTCACCGTTCTGCATTCTAAATGTCACAGCAGCCGCCGGCCTGCCAGCCTCTCTCTCTCTCTCTCTCTCTCTCTCTCTCTCTCTCTCTCTCTCTTTCTCTGTGGCAGAGCGGACAGAGCGATCTTTCCAGAGGGAGAAAAAAAAAGATTAACTTTCAAGGAGCAGACCAGATCTCTTCTCCATGGAAATCTGTTTCTTCTCTCTCTCTCTCACTCTCTCTCTCTCTCTCTCTCTCTCTCTCTCTCTCTCTCTCTCTCTCTCTTTCTCTTTCTCTTTCTCTCTCTCTTTCTATCTATTTCTCCCTCTCTCTCTTTCCCCCCTCCCTCTATCTGAGCGCTGCCGTCAGGTCTAGGGGTGCTGGCATGCACCTCTCTCTGCTGCGTTGCCATGGCAGCCGTAGAGCCGGAGGAGGTGCTGTAGAGAGGCATGAAACCCAAGCAGACAGTCTTTTGTAAGGGATTAGATCTCTGCTCCTCACAAGCCTTTCATTAGCAGACAGATTGAGAGCGTCGCAGCAAAAGAAGTCTAGAACTTTCGGGGTGAGGTGTGGGAGATCGCAGAGCTAATTAATAAAACTGTTTGCAATTAATTCACTTTAAGGCTGGAATCAGTCGTTTAATTATACATACTGAGGCATCGTCTAACGTACGGGCCGTGAACGGTTATTTTCCACTTTTACTGTGGCTAGCTAATTATCTTTTTAAGTCTGATGAAGTCTAATGACTGCCTAAAATGATGCATATTCACAGGAAGGAGACCCACGTATTGCGCCAATTAGATCAAATCAAGCCTCGCCAAAGGTAAATCAGTTAGATCAAGCTCTTGCCAAAGACCGAGCTGCAGCCTGTCATCTGTGAAAATCTCCTGATGTGTGAAAAGAGCCTGTGGGGCACGATGACCGGCCCTCTTTTAAAGCCGCTTTCCTGTCCAGCCCTCTCCTCACGGAGCTCCCGTATGCTCTATGTCTGTCTCAGGGGAGCAGGAAGACTGACAGGTCTGGTGGATGATTGACAGGGCCCAGGGCCCCTGCTCCCCTCATCACTGTCTGAGAAGGAATCATGTGATTAGGGAGCCATGCCTAATGAATCCCACGCCACCGAGCAGGAGAGGAATGTGGAGTGCTCCAGAGACGAAAGAGAAAGCTCACCTGTCTGCGAACACACACTTCATACGCTCACATACACTCACACACACAAAAGGAGACTCAAACACGTTTTCTGTTTTGGCACCGGTCTTCCTGAAGTGGTCAGTAGTGCTTGCAATGACTCATTCAGCTTCCCTTTTCTTACTCCAGCCCATACTCATTAAAACTACATAGGTCTCTCTCTCTCTCTCTCTCTTAAGAGAGTGAGAGAGAGAGAGAGAGAGAGAAAGAGAAGATTTCATCATTGTGAGGCTCTTACTTCTTTACATGCCTAGAAGGTAACTTATAGCCTTGGCATCCTCCCAGAATGCTGTGCTGCAGCCTTCCTGCTAGAATTGAGGCTTTTAAAAGGAGGAACGTCTTTACGTGTCACGCAGCAGAATTTGATGTACAGCCGGATATTTCCTCCCCTGTGTGTAGGTGTCCGTGTGTCTGATCATGCTGCCCTCGGCAGACAGAATGCAAAAATACTGTGTCATGGCTGCCAGTGCGGCTTCGTCCTTCAGCTTGTCTGACCCTTCACAAACACTCGTCCCATCTGGACTGACCTACCTTCAGTTAGACACTCAAAAGTATTATTCAGACGGGGAAAGTTTTCCAGGTGCTGTGTGACCAAAAGTGTCCAGGCACCTGTTTGTCCAAGATATCTTCAAAAAGGGTATTAGTAAAGAATTTATAGGGGGTGTCTGGCTTGACAATGAGCATTTATGTGCCTATATAATGCACAGTCTTATGCAAAGGTTTTGTTCCGAGTCAGCCAACGCGTGTTTTCAAACTGCTGCTAACACATCATTGGACATCTCAACACACTTTGCATTGACTGCCATTTCTGTTATGTGAACTAACAGACATCAACTCAGCAGAGTTATGGAGGGCCACCCCATCCACCCTGAGAGTGAAGCCAATTTTGCTGTCTTGGACTCCTGGCCACAGATGTCTGTGGCATCAGGGGGATCAAACTCAATCTCCTGATGATGGGGTCAGTCACTCCACACAGGAGCCCCCATATGTTTTCCCTGTTAATTCATATTTGGTAAAAGCTTGTGCAATCATAAAAAGAGACACACAAGAAATGATTAATTTGGACATGAGATGCTCTGGTAATAATTACATTACTGAACCTCTCCTAAAACTATTTCCATTGGAATAATTGGGCTGCAACTGATGATTATTTATATAAATGATTTACTATTGACAATTATTCATTGAAACAAATATGCCTTCTGCAGTTTCCTCCCACTTTGCCCTGTCACAGCACCACTATCTTTCAAAGTTCCATAGAGCCGGTTTATGAGGAGCCTGGCCACTTCCTATTTCCACTGTTATGTCAAAAACATGACTCTACATCAGACCCTGTACGTCCTGTGGTCTGCTGCAGTCTGTAGGAATTATTGTGAATATCAAACCAGTGCTGTAAGCATATACTTTTATTTTTAAGCAAAAAAAGGCCTCGGCACTTTGACTGTATTACCTAATTGCAGCAGCCCTACTAAATAGTTCCCTGCCTTACACATCCACCAACACCAGCTCTATACATTTTTAGAAGGGTAGCCACCCTCCTCACAGGCTTTGAAACTGAAGCCCTTGAGCTGGACCGCAGTCTGTAAATAGAGCCCGCTTCTGTCTGGACCGAGTTTTGCTTCTTCTGTGTGTCAGGTGGGGAGACACTGTCAGGGTATGTAGGTGAGTGGGGGATTGTACTTCTAGAAAAAGGAGGTCAGACGCCCGGGCTCAACTTTTCTCCCTGTCAGAAAGTTTTGATCCCTTCCGTTTTCTCCAGAGAGCGATGGGGGTGGGGGACGCTGCTGCTTTGCCTTCCCCCTCAAACAGTCGGTCTCATTTTCCTCAACTCACAGAGTAGCTGTCAGACACAGAGAGCGAGAGAGAGCGAGAGACAGAAAGAAAGAGAGAAATTTTATTCATTGGAGAAACAGAGGGAGAGCCAAGGGGCTCAATTACCACAGCAGTGCATAAGCATCAGTTGTGGCGTTTAATTGTCTCCTTAAAACAATATTTAGGAGGGAGACGCATTTATTGTGAGGACAAATAATGAACAGAAATCTGAATTAATCTCACTTAATTAACCCTGTGTTGCAGAGGGTTGCATCAACCCCTGCAGCGTTCCCCTGAGCCCCCCGCGAGCATCATGTGTTACATTTCTTTACCAATCCAGCGGTACAAGGCACGCTTTCATACAGGGCAGTACGTGGCTGATCACGCAGATGTTAAACGTTGCCTGTTTGTGTGAAAGCTGCTCATGAATGAAATCCGCCTGGTGATGTGTTTTTGTTTGTGTGTATTTTTGTTTCTGCAGCGGATGATGGCTGTGGGGGTACGCTGCGGGGTCAGAGTGGCATCATCACCAGCCCTAACTACCCCCAGGAGTACAACAACAATGCAGACTGCACATGGACAGTGTTGGCTGAGCCAGGTGACACTATTTCGCTGGTCTTTACTGACTTCCAGCTGGAGGAGGACTACGATGTCCTGGAGGTCAGCGGCACTGACGGCTCCTCCCAGTGGTGAGTCAGGAACTGAAAGCCTCTGTGTTTGATTTGCTTTACGTTTCATTTTTTTAGATCTATCACATCAGTGAAATACCTGCAGTGTTGTCATGGTGGTGAATATACTAGCACTGACAATAGCTTATACAGCAATAATGCTACATAAACTTTAGCACACAGGCAGTGACAAACAGATACACACACACACACACATATACACTCAGTTATATACAGCGTTGGGCGAAAGTCAAAGACTATACTTCATTTCCTGTTTAATTTCCAGTCAAAACGGCCATTAAGTACAAGTTATTCATTATTGATTGTTAAAAAAGCGTGGGACACTTAAACTCTACTTACACAAAAGCCTCAAACAAATTTAATTACTATTTCTTTCAGTATTTAGAGTTTGTCAGAAGACTTGCTGTCCATTTTTTAAAGAAATCCGCAGTCATTTCCCAAAGTTCCGTCTTGGAAGTTGGTTGCATTTTCTGCTTCTCATGATCCAAGCAATCTATTCCCTTTTTTTCCACAGAAGTGGCTTCTTGACAGCTACACCTCCTTTCAGACTCATAGCTTTGAATTGTCTTCTCGCAGTGGACGGATGCACTGCAAAAAATGGTATCTTTTCAAATACAATTTTAAATATAGTCAACAAATCTAATATTTCTCCTGTTGAGGTTGTTATGAGCTTAATTTAGGGTTATGTTCCTAATTTTACACATTTTTAGTAAAATTATCTCACTGTATTGGCAAATAGTTTTGCTGGTTTTAAGAAACGTGCTTAAAACCAGCAAAATTATCTGTCAGTATAGTGAGATAATTTTACTTTATTAAATTACCTAAAATAAGTAAATGATGTCTAGAAATAAGGTAAATAATATTATAACAAGTGCACGGGTATAGATTTAATATTTATTTATTTAAGATCATTTCACTTGACGTGATACCAATTTTTGCAGTGTGAACAGAAACACCTGTGGATTTTTTCAGATCTGAAGCAAGAGTGGCGCTTAAATTTCTCTTTTTTAAGAAGTTTGCAGTTTAAAAAAAAAGTCCTCTTTTTAAATAGTTTTTTAAGAGTCCTAGTTTTTCTATATCTTTTAATAACCTTTTGAAATCCAATCCTGTTTTTTTTTTCACTTATTTACCTTTGACCTTCCCCTTTCTTATGCGAATGGATTATCTTATATCTAATATTTTAGAAATCTCTTCTGAAAAATGAAAACATTGTACTTAATGACCATTCTGACTAAATAACAACATTAAAAAATAAATGAATACATGTGAGATACCATTCTAAATATATATTTTCATTCCAATATGTATTTCAAACACTAAAGTACATCAAGCAGAAATACGTTTTTTGGCGGGGTGAAGGGTGGTCTCTGGCTTTTACACACTGCTGTAGGTGACAGACACATTGGTACGTGAGTACACTCACTGATTAGGGGGACAGTGTCAGGCAGAGTGGCTGATTAGAAGATGAGTTGAGATTGCAGTGCGTCTCAGTGGGCAGTTGTGTGATGAGCGAGTGAGAGAGACAGACGGAGAGAGAGAGAGGGTGAGAGAGACGAGTGAATGCTTTGGACCAGCACTGTCACTCAGGTAAAGTTTGGACCAGCTCCTTTAGACTAACTCTAAGCACCATGATGAGGGCTCCCAGCTGACTGGAGCTGAAGCTTCTCAACCGTCATTCATGCTACACAACTTCCCAGCGTGATCCTGTGTCTCGGCTGGTGTTGCACTCTATCTAGCCAGGGACATAAAGAGGAAAAACGCTTCTGCCTCAATCATAGAATGGGGCATTTTAGAAAATGGCTCAATCTTGAAATGGTTCAGTGTCTCTCTCCCTCTTGTTCCCCAAAGCATTCATAGCTTCTGAGCAGCTGCACACCCATTAGGATGCTAAAAACTCCACAAGGCCACACTTCCATTCGCTCAAGTACATTTAGGGTTTGGCTGTGATTAGCTGTGCGCTGAGTGGCCTGGGGACTCTGACGTTAGTCATCCATTTTGTCCCAGTAAATAAGAGGTTCACAGTGACATATCCGAACTACTGACTGGGGTTTAGTAAGCTGATGTCTGGATGCTAATGTACAGTGACTAAGATTTTTCCTCCTTTGCTGTATCACTGTGGTACCCCTGTGATCTTTATTATTGAATCTTCCTCTACATATATATTGTGGTAAAGTTCACACGTAAGGAGAGTGGATTAGAAGAATGAACAGATGCTTCGGTCATGTTAATTTTATTTCTCCAATGGCTGTTAGCACTGGGAAGCCTCATTCCTTGTCCTCACATGGAAATTTGACCCTTTTTTTTAGTATCATTGTCCAGTGTCCCATGTGGCACTATGGGTAAGCAGTACTGTTTTGAAATTCACTTATCCAGCATTAGCATGAGCTATATATACACCAGTCAGCCATAACATTAAAACCACCTCCTTGTTTCTCTACTCACTGTCCATTTTATCAGCTCCACTTACCACTTACAGAGCAGGTTTTTTTTGGGTGGTGGATCCTTCTCAGCACTGCAGTGACACTGACGTGGTGGTGGTATGCTAGCGCGTGTTGCCCTGGCACGAGTGGATCAGCAGCTGGAGTTTTTAAACACCTCAGTGTCCACCAACCAAAAACATCCAGCCAACGGCGTCCTGTGGGCAGTGTCCTGTGACGACTGATGAAAGAGTAGGGGATGACTCCACTCATACCAGCGCAACACACACTAACATGCCACCATCACGTCAGTGTCACTGAAGTGCTGATAATGATCTACCACCCAAATAATACCTGCTCTGTGGTGGTCCTGTGGGGGGCCCTGACCATTGAAGAACCGTACCTGTTATCCTTTACATTGTGTGAACATTTAAAGAGAGAGAGAGAGAGAGAGAGAGAGATTTGAAAGAAAGAATAAGAGAATAAGAGCAGTGACAATGATAAGAGCTGCGACCCAAACTCAGGAGCCATCCACTCAAACATTTCTCTTAAATTATTAACACAGATTAACACAACACATATTTTCATTTCAATCTCTCTCTCCCTTTCTCTCTTTCTTTATTTCTCTCTCTGTGTCCCTCACTTTTATCATTTAGCCAAAGAAATGGAACCTTTCCATTCACTAACTTAAAATGCACACACACATGGGGTCAGTGGAGAATTGGAAGTGCTTTTATTGGAATTGATCGATAAGCCCCTTTGCCCTCCATGTTTCCGTTCTCTTAGCCCTTCTGTCCCCTACGTGCCACCAAGCATGGGGTCACAGTAGGGCCTTTAATTAAGCAGGCAATTAGTAGAGAGAGGCAGGCCAGCAGACGGGGAGGAGGAAAGAGAGGGAGTGGTGGGAGCTATGTCGTTCGACCTTGCAGTGCTCTGGATATATATATATATGTGAGCGCACTGCCCAACACCAGCACTCACACCTTCATGGGCAATTAACCTATGAATATGCACCAAAACGCAGAAGGGAAGGGTGCACAATGAGTGTCAGCTACAATGATGTAGGGCCAATTATGGCACAGCCGGGACAATCTGGGCCGGTGGAGGTTTTTCCCTCTCCAAATGGACTGGATGGAGATGGTGAAATGTGGCCATTTTTTTTTCTTTTTTTCCTCCCCTTTTTTCCAGCTCGGGCGCACAGCATTGAGGTTTTCATTCGAAACAGAACCAACCACGCTGAAATCAATTTCTTCAAGCTATTGTCAGCAAACTTTGAGATGAGAAGTGGAGAGAAAGCATTGGTTATGCAGATGTTTACCTCCATGCTCTAATAAACAGGCTCTGAACTGTCTGCCTTGACAGTCTTTTTGATTTGTAGGTGGAGGTTTATGGGATGAGGGCTAGGTGAGGTTATGTAACCTGCACATGAAGGAGGGGCTCCTACCGCCTCATGAGTCGATGATGCTAGAGGTTGACTGGTGACCACATCCACTGGGAGAAGCAGGAGTCAGACTGCTGATAAAAATCAATATTGTGACTCTTGTAAGAAAACCTAAATATCTCTGAATGAGTAACTTTACAAGGAAGGAAAAATATTCTTTAATGTACATTAAAGGGGGATTCCAACGATTTTTCAAAAATTCTGCATTATTAAATATTGGATGAAAAATCAGTTGTTGGGATGAACTCTGCTCATTTAATTAATTGATTAAATGGTTTAATTAATCGTAATTAAATGGTTACATTAAATTGTTTGCAGTGATGACAGGAACCGTCTAAAGAGTTTAATGCTTCTAAAAGCTACTCACAGAAAAGTATTACACATTACACTGCCTAATGTTTGAGACATTGCTTTACAATAGTTTTGAGATAACGTTTTGGCCTATAGCATATAATTTTTAATGCATGCAGCATGGAGAGATACATGCATGATGATGTGAGGAAAAATACTCTCCAAACTTTTTTTTTTTTTTTCCAGATTTAACACTTTTTTTACATTACTGGTCATTTAACATAGTAAATAAAATGGCAGTGTTTGCGTTGAAGACATTGCAACCCCTGAATTTCACATAAAAACATTCTGAATGACTTTGTTTACTTCTGAATGATTGAATTATGCAGAGGGTTTGAATGAAACATGGAAAAATTCCTCTTTAATACCTCCAAAGGCTGCTTCACATGAAGTTATTATACAAAAAAGATAGCATTACATGATGCTTGAGACATTGTTTTAGAGAAGGTTTTGGCTTAAAACATATTTTTAAAATCCATTCATGGTGGAGAAGTACATGCAGGGCGTTTCTAATAATAGTGACTTTTTCACTATTCCACTATTTTACCATCATCAACATCACATATAACAAGACGTGTGAGTTTGCTGTTGGTTTTGGATTGTACATCAAATGGCTATATTCGCACTGCAAACATCATGACCTCTGGATCCTGTCACTACCACTATAAAGACTGAATTATGTCAAAATTTTGAAAAATTGGTAGAATTTCCCTTTTAATTTAAAGCGATTTTAAGTCATTTTGGAGCATTTCTATCGGTCCACTCATCATGAAATGTTCACGAAATGTGAA